TCCGGCCGTTCCGTGCTACGACATGTACATGATCCGCTATGTTGGCACGAAGGAGTCGTGGGCTACGAAGCTGACGTCTTCGAGTGCATCGCTGCCTCCCTACTCGTCGGGCAAGACTGGCCCTGACGTCTACATGATCTGGTGGTACGCTCACCACGGCCGTATCGCGTTCGACGGCAAGAACTGGGCCGCGTACTTCGGTGCCGCCATCTCCACGTCGGAGGGTGGCTGCATCAACATTCACCAGGGTGACCGCATGAAGGTGGTTGACGCTACGGGTAAGATCACGGCGGACGAGGACTCGTTCGACTGGGGTTGCTCGCACTCGGCTTACGAGCGTATCACGTACGACCACCGCACGGACAGCTACGCGACTATCTGTAAGACGGACAGCAACAACCGTATCATGCCGCCTAAGGACTGGGGCACAACGATCTACCCGGTAGACCTGGGTGCTGCCAACTTGGGCGACATCGTGCCGGACTCGGACGCTTCCAGCAAGAAATACTGGGCTACGGTTAGCAACGGCAACGGCGACAACGCCAAGGTGCACCTGATCCACTTCGCCATGAACGCGGCTGCCAGCGAGGACATCACTCTGGGCGGCACGGACGCCAACGAACGTGCGCCTCACCTCGCGCAGATCGGCAGCGGCGGCATGCTGGCTGTGTGGGAGGGCAGCTCGTCGGGCGGCGACTTCATGGAGGGCGGTGACCGCACGATGTACGCGCAGGTGCTGGACGCTTCGTCGGGTAAGGCCATCAGCGACAAGGTGACGGTGGACAAGTCCGTGGTGGGCAACCGCTACCAGGCATTGAAGACGTACCCGGATGGCAGTGTGGCATACCTGTCGAAGGGTAAGACCGGCAGCTCGCTGCAGGTGGTTCGCTTCTTCGGGTGCTAAGAAAATCGGAGACGATATACAACTTTGAATGTATAGATGTCTGGTTAAAAAATGTTTTCTTGACGGAATTTGGTCCCACGTGTGCAACAAACTCTTGTGGCAGAGTTGAAGTTGCAACACTTAAAATTTATTTTGCCTCATTTTACAAAAGTCGCGCTTGATGCCAGTGGCAGTCCGTGTTCAGCCCAAGGCGGTGTATGTGGCAGCGACACGGCAGCATGTGGGCAAGACTAGCACGTGTCTGGGATTGCTACAAGGACTGACCGCTCGTCTGGACCGCATTGGCTTCCTCAAGCCCGTGGGGCAGGAGAGCGTCGCCGTCGAGGGCGGTTCCCTGCGTGTGGATAAAGATGTCGCGGTGGCAAAAGGTATGCTGCTATTAATTTGCGCTACGCAATACCTGATTATACCTCTTTTTCGTAAAAGACAGTAACGAAATGATTGTAACATGTAACGTTTCCTTTTTTAATGCAGAGGTGTTCAAGCTCGATACAGGAGTACGAACGAGTCGTTGGGGCGTCGGCGGCAGTGGAATCTTAGACGGATCTTCATCTTGAATCATCGGTCGACTCACAGGCTGCTTTCCGGCATTGATGCCAACGGCGCCAAACGCCTTCCGAAGCTTCTTCTTCCATTTCTGGAGAGCAGCTCCGGCTTCATGTGGACTCCAATCCTGGAGCGACATCGTTGATGGGTACGTCTCGCTCTCGAACCCCAGCGACAACAGTAGCGAAACTGAATCCTCGGCAACTTGACTAGTCGAAACCGAGTTGACTGGGTATTGAAGTTCCTGCGCAAGCGCAGGCCAGTCGGCCTTTTTCTTGGGGATGGGCTTGAACAGCTGCATCCACTCATCATTCTGCATCAGTGCTTGTACGCGGTCGAAAACGCGCTTGGCGGCTGGTGTATCACCGTTGATAGGTGGGCGAGGTGCCTTCAGCAGTGCTGAATGCTTTGCACTCGCCACCGAAGGTTTAAAACCCTCGGTCCCATCGTCATAATCATCATAGGCCGGTTCCGGTCCCGCAACATCATCGAGCTCGTCGGCGAGGTTCCTCGAAAGGGACTTGGTCGCCCCGCTCAGCCCCGATGATAGCGTGGCCGTCTCCGGCGTCGCTGCGCCTGGCTCTGGAGCCGGCGTCTTATCTTCGTAATCTTCATAATCGTGAGCGTCAGGACCGATGTCCGTGTGGTGTAGCGGGATCAGCAAAATCTGCGAGATTGCCAGATCCAACTTACCAACTGCGCCCAGACACCGACTAACGGAGGGGGTCCCCCGATGATCCGTGTTCTGCTGAACTTTCCTCACCTTGTGTACCCGTCGGTAGGGCGGGATCTGCTCTCTCGGTAACTTCCGAAGAGTTCAAGTGGTGAAGCTTGAGTGTCTTGGCGAGACGTGGGGATGGGGTGGAGCAGCAGTGGAAAAATCTTCACTCTGCGTCCGTGGATTGTTCCGTATCCTAAGCGAATATTCGAGCTTATGGATCCGGGGCCTAGATCGTGGATCTGGCCGTAGGGTTGCCTTGCGGGTGTGTTCCCTTGCCTTTGTGTTGTCCTTTAAGTCGTACTTGCCGACTCCTGTGACGGGATCTTGAAAGTTGAGAGCCTCTAGGGTGTAACCGACCAAGTAGTAAATTCGGTTAACCTGTCGGATCTGCAC